GGCAACCGTGGACCCTATTGTCCCCTATTGTTATAGGTCAGCGTTTGAAGGCATGTACACACTCAGTAATACCCTACTGTACATGTAGTTGTGTACTGCTGTGTATCTTAACACGTTGGTAACACACATGTAACAGGTGCTGATCCATTATTGATTTGTAACACCTGTGTCCCTTTCAGTCTGTCTTACTGTGTTCCCTGCTGTTGGACTGAAGGCCAATCAAAATTACTAGCATTACAATAGGCTTTTCAGTGTTATATTTCACCAGTTTTCCATGAGCACTGAAACACTTCCAAAAAATTGTGCATTCAAGGTCATGGATATTGACAGGAAATCCAGAAACAGTATGTAAATGTACCAAATGGTAACAAGTTGTAATTGTTCAGTGAGTTTCTCCAAAACGCCCAGAAACACAGGCAACGGGTACTGGAATTCTTTTAAATTTGAATCCTTGATACCTGTACATGTAATGTGAATGCATTTTGTATTTTTACATTGTCATTTTAGTTTGCTGTTCATATATATCATAACTTTCCAATCAAGTGTTTTATTGATGTTTTAAACTTTGGCTTAACTGTTTATAATCTTTTTTTTTGCCATTTTTATATGTATTTCAAAGAGTTTTTCTTTTTGTAGGTATGATTTTGTGAGAGATGGTTGCAATAAAAAATAAATAAATATAATTTAGGACACGGGGGGGCGTGTTATAATGCAGGTTTTTTTTTCATGAATTCAGGAAGCATTGTTTATGCAATTCTGTTAAGTACAGACTTGAAAAAGGATTGGAATGGAATACGGCCGTTTCACAATAGTACGCCACCAAGAGTTTGCAACGCGTTGGCCAATCACAATGCACGAAATTTGTCGACCCAATGCGCGTTTGGAAAGGGTCGACAAATTTCGCGCGTTAGGATTGGCCAATGCATTGCAAACTCTTGGAGGCGCCCTATTGTGAAACACCCGTATTGGTTGGTTGGTTGGTTGATGTACCTGTACATACACTGCACACAGTGAAAATGGAATGCAGCTTTTTTCATTTCACGTGGACATTTATTGGCAAGTTCATCTCTTAAAACACACAACTGCTTACAACATTGGGAGGGCCTACCGACAGACCATTGGGAGGGCCTATCGACAGACCATTGGGAGGGCCTACCGACAGACGTGCAGGACCCTGTTTATTCACACTCCATAAGTTAGAGTTACACATAATATACCTTTCATAGGAATTTTGACAATCTTACTGTCAGTATAATTCAATGGACGAGTTGCGGGATAAAAAACAGAGATCAAAACTCCCGTATTGGAGAAATTACTCTGAAAAAGTCTGCAACTGAATTGTATTAAACATAACATGCACAAAAAAGAGAATGTAATCGTCTGTTTTTATGCAGATGGCAATTCACGCTTACACGACGCCTTATATATCCCGCATTTACCTCTCACCACCATAACTCTCCGGCGCGCAGCAGAGTGATATTCTTAAGAACTCATTTTCGTACTAATTCACTGCCCTGTTCAACCGTACGAAAATATACTCACTATGTACATGTAACTACCAGTATAGGTGGACCAACATTGCCCAAGCGATGGATGGTTTAGGCTATCTAGTCCACCATTTGTAGTCACACCACTTGGTTACCGGTAGCCAATTTCATTTATCAATACAGAGGGAACCGTTCACATGACAATAATTGTTTGGGAAGTCATTGACCATGGAAGCCAATGACAAATGACAAAAGTGTGAGTGAGGATGGGATTTCCAATATACACCTTGTTCAACTGGTGTCATTCGACATGCTCGAGCCTGACTGTACTGCGCGTGTACAAGAAAAAGCAATGGACAAGGGGTCGAGCTAGAGTCTGTGCTCAGACTTTGCCTAGCTTTGTGACATGAGAGTGAATCTAATACTTGTGAAGACGTTCAAAGATTTGACTGCAGCACTGCAAGCTGGTCAAATGGCCTTGAACAAGACGTTTACAAGTCCCTGTACTTTCTATTTTGACCAGGGTGAAGATGGCACGGAAAAGTTTCAGCAGATTGCCAACGCCTACGAAATACTCAAAGATGACGACGAACGGCGGGACTATGATTACATGCTCGATAACCCAGGTTAGTCAGTGGTGACAACACAGTCTTTCAATAACATGCTTATCAAATCTATACCCTGATCTTGTGCTGGTCTCGAGTGGTCTTGTGAAGGTCTTAATTATGGAAAACACAAAATAAAGATATTGCCATTTGTGAACAAGCCTATTCATAACCAATGCAGGTGCATAGCGCGTGTGCATGTGATGACCGCGATGCGATGTCATGGATATGAATGTGAGTACATTGTGCATGGAGTACTTGTGTATGTCTGCTGACTGTCTACGCCGACAGGCTGATCAATCATGCAGAAGTGCGACCAGAAATCAGCTCAAAGAGTACAGAAATTTCGAGAAGAGTAGGAAGCAAAACACCACTTCGTTTCTGCGTTCCCAAAGGGGGAATGGTTTGTGTTTTGTGGATACTGTCGGCAACAGATCAAAATACATGTAGCCTAGCTAGTGTGGTGGGCGGCCATGGGGACTGAGCAATATTACACGTCACCGCTATCCAGCACGAGTAGGCTAACGTCCTGTTTGTGAAAAGAAGATACTTCAGTGATAATTGCATACCGGTACATCCATGCTTGCTTTCCCCCCCAAAAATAGGATCCTCATGCAACTGTATGCCGTTTTCCAATCTTTTTATAATTTCACATTGGCAATTTCATTAAATGCAATAAAAGAATGGTAATGCAGCCATAAAACTTTACAAGGCTATAAAAATGAAATTTCAATGNAGACCATTGGGAGGGCCTACCGACAGACCATTGGGAGGGCCTACCAACAGACCATTGAGAGGGCCTACCGACAGACGTGCAGGACCCTGTTTATTCACACTCCAGAAGTTAGAGTTACACATAATATACCTTTCATAGGAATCTTGACAATCTTACTGTCAATATAATTCAATGGACGAGTTGTGGGATAAAAAAAACAGAGATCAAAACTCCCTTAGTGGAGAAATTACTCTGAAAAACCCTATTACTGAATTGTATTAAGCATAACATGCACAAAAAAGAGAATTTAATTGTCTGTCTTTATGCAGATGGCAATTCACGCTTACACGATGCCTTATATATCCCGCATTTACCTCTCACCACCATAACTCTCCAGCGCGTAGCAGAGTGATATTCTTAAGAACTAATTTTCGTACTAATTCACTGCCCCGTTCAACCGTACGGAAATATACTCGCTATGTACATGTAACTACCAGTATAGGTGGACCAACATTGCCCAAGCGATGGATGGTTTAGGCTATCTAGTCCACCATTTGTAGTCACACCACTTGGTTACCGGTAGCCAATTTCATTTATCAGTACAGAGGGAACCGTTCACATGACAATAATTGTTTGGGAAGTCATTGACCATGGACACCAATGACAAAAGTGTGGGTGAGGGATTTTCAAAATACACCTTGTTCAAATGGTGTCATTTGAGCCTGACTGTACTGCGCGTGTACAAGAAAAAGCAGTGGACAAGGGGTAAGGCTACAGTCTGTGCTCAGACTTTCCCTAGCTTTGTGACATGAGAGTGAATTTAATACTTGTGAAGACGCTCAAAGATTTGACTGCAGCACTGCAAGCTGGTCAAATGGCCTTGAACAAGATGTTTACAAGTCCCTGTACTTTCTATTTTGACCAGGGTGAAGATGGCACGGAAAAGTTTCAGCAGATTGCCAACGCCTACGAAATACTCAAAGATGACGACGAACGGCGGGACTATGATTACATGCTCGATAACCCAGGTTAGTCAGTGGTGACAACACAGTCTTTCAATAACATGCTTATCAAATCTATACCCTGGTCTTGTGCTGGTCTCGAGCGGTCTTGTGAAGGTCTTAATTATGGAAAACACAAAATAAAGATATTGCCATTTGTGGACAAGCCTATTCATAACCAATGCAGGTGCATAAGTCTTGAAGGTGCATAGCGCGTGTGCATGTGATGACCGCGATGCGATGTCATGGATATGAATGTGAGTACATTGTGCATGGAGTACTTGTGTATGTCTGCTGACTGTCTACGCCGACAGGCTGATTAATCATGCAGAAGTGCGACCAGAAATCAGCTCAAAGAGTACGGACATTTCGAGAAGAGTAGGAAGCAAAATACCACTTCGTTTCTGCATTCCCAAAGGGGGAGTGGTTTGTGTTTTGGCGATACTGTCGGCAACAGATCAAAATACATGTAGCCTAGCTAGTGTGGTGGGCGGCCATGGGGACTGAGCGATATTACACGTCACCGCTATCCAGCACGAGTAGGCTAACGTCCTGTTTGTGAAAAGAAGATACTTCAGTGATAATTGCATACCGGTACATCCATGCTTGCTTTCCCCCCAAAAATAGGATCCTCATGCAACTGTATGCCGTTTTCCAGTCTTTTTATATTTCACATTGGCAATTTCATTGAATGCAATAAAAGAATGGTAATGCAGCCATAAAACTTTACAAGGCTATAAAAATGAAATTTCAATT